ACAAAGAGGTCAACTACATGTCTTCATGAAGTACACGAGTTTGGGATGACTGGTTAAAGAACGGAACACCTTACCATGTCAACGACACTTTCGTGGAACCGTAGAATTTTAAAGACGCTGCTCAATTTCGAACTGACGTTCTGGCTGTGGAAATCGATGAACCAACATCTAAGAAAATTCGTGAATGTGGCGCAAAAGAAACGCAGCTCAGTTTAGTTTTCGTGATTGTAGCGTCGTGTGCGTCCTGTTTAATATTTCCAGTAAACATTTGTGAATTTTTTCTTTATGAAAAGCTAATTGAAATGCGAGGGGATCATGTATTAATATGCAAGGGGAATAATTCACTTATCCCCCTTTCATATTAATACATAATCCCCCCGCATTTTAATTAGCTGTTCATTAGCCCCGCTCCTCCAGTCAAACAATCAAAGCCGCACCCAGCTTTTCAGACAGTTGATTTGGGGGTTATGTAATATATTCCCCCCTCGAAAAGAACAAAGGAATCCGAGCTTGTGTAAAAATAAGAACTTCTGCGTGGGATCAGGCCGAGTGCAGCTGGAGCGGGTTATTTTCTTCAGTTATTCTCATTAGCGTAAAAGCCGCCGCATGACAATTTAATCGCGTCTATGGAACAAATCTTAACGCACATCGGCTGGAAATCTACTCAGACCGCTAAGTATTAAACTCAAACAGACAAGTTCCTTAGCTCACCAAAGTAACTGACATGCTTGCCCAAATCACCTCAGCCGTCGACAAGGACACGGCTCCCAAGGTCACAATCATTGCGGAAACCTACCCTTTCTATGACAAGATTTGGCTACACTAAAACTTAATAAAGTTTTCTGGCAATTATTCTCCGTCTTTCGGATTAGTCTATAGCATCCTTTGTCTCGGGGAAAATTATTTCACCCATAACTTATCCATCAAGAGGCACAGGGTGGCTTTTAATGCGAATGTGAATTAGTTACGATTCATTATCAATTATTATTTAATAGTAAATTGTAAATATCTTATTATCCACTCCCCTCAGGGCTTTTCAGGGATAATTTACAACACTGGTTGGGGGACTTTGCCAGACTGCTTAAGGTGCAGTTTACAAGTAATGAAGGAATGAGTAATGATGCCCCCATACATGAGTGTGAAAGTGAGATAGACCACTACACCGGGCACTACGTGCCCTACTCTTTACGAAGAGTGTGTGGGTTCTTTAACGTCCCACAGATTTAATACATGTGCAAGGGCTTGTGAGACGGGGCCTACGGTTTATCGTCCTTATCCGAGAAGACTAGAAAGTCTAGCCGTTTGCAGATATTATTACAAAGGCAGCACTTTCTCCTCAGTTATTTAAAGACCCTGAGTGTTGGTCCGGCCGGGTTTTGAACCCGCGACCTCCCGCTCAGTGGACCGGCGCTCTCCCAACTGAGCTAACCAGGCGGCGGTTAAATAATAGTATCAAAGAACTCAGTTTTGAATTACCAAAATTGATACTTGGCTCCCAGCAAGCAAACAAAAGTAACGAATTCATGTTCGCATAAAAGGCACCCTATGCTTCTCGATGGATAAGTTACGGGTGAAAAATTTTGCAAAAGGCGCAGGGTGAGGTTACACAGGAAATTTGCCAGCGCCGCCGTAGGGGAGGAGGGTGGGGAAACTTGTTTGCTCCTTGTGGAGTAGACTTGCGAGAAGAGAGCGAATTCGTTTGCAAGGGTGTGTAAAAGGCCTAGAGAATTTCCCTGGGGACAAAAATAGGGCCAATAGAGTGTTTTCACTCACGTGGCCAGCCTCTATGCAATTTTTTGGGACAAAAGAATGCGTTTACATAAGAAAAGAGTTAAACTCCCAAAGGATTGGTTTGGGACACCAACATGGCCGCCGTTTCATTGTTTTGGGACACCAATATGGCGGCCGTGACGTCATGTGAGAAGTGGCTTACGAGGGAGCACGCAGTCATCTAGTTGATTAAATCGTCATGTGGCGGCTTTTACGCGAATGAGAAAAGAAATCGAATCGGGATTCAATGATTAATAATTCATTTCTAATGTTTTATTCCTCTCAGCCTCCACCTGCAAGCCAAGTATGAATTTTGATAATTCAAACAAAGCTGATCTTATAACCCAATATTATAACCCAGTTTCAATATATTAAAATTCTAACATGAATCCGAGGCTTTCTGGTCAACACTTTTCTATATGCTGTTTGCTTTTGTTTAGACTGCGAGCAGTCTCTCTTTGTCTTCAGATTTAGTAAGGGGAATGCACGCGCGCGAGAGCATTGAGTGGTGACGCGCGTGGTCATTTGTGTGTCTCGGACGTTTTGCTCGACGGACCAAGAAAAGAGAGAGACTGCTCGTAGTCTAGTTTTTGTTTGTGTTCAAGTCTCTTCTGGAAATTGCGAGGCAATGGAGTCGTGAAAAATTTGCAATTTTGTCAGTAATGCTTCGGAGTCATGTTAGAATTTTGATTTATCGAACGTGGGCTACTGTGAAAAAAAAACTTATTTT